TCTTCATGCATAGAATACTGGGTTCTTGTTACAAAACTGAATTACCTCCCCCGACCATCTCTGATGGTCCCTTTAGGTTAAAGCCTTAAGCAAAGTCCCAGCGAGATCAAGGGGGCCCCAGGACCGCAAACCTTAAACGCCCGAAAGCCCTAAAGCTCTATCCTTTGCACCCTAAACCCTAAACCCTAAACCCTAAACCGTGAATGAGAGTCTGGAGCCTCAAAACCCCCCAAAACTTAAACAGCACCTCTGGCCCTGCTCCAAGTTCTCGATACTTATTTTCTGCTGAAGATAAAGATGCCCCTTTCTTTTTGTTATAGGGGCCTTAATAAATAGAATCGGTTTTTGGGCCTAATATACTATAATTACAATAAAGAACCCCCCAAGAATAGAAAAGTAGGTAGTTATTTAGATCTCAAAGGTATGGGATCCTTTTGAGTTTCATTCTTCTGCAGCCAACAGCCAGGCTGGTCGCTGGACGCCCAGCCACCCGCTGGGGGGAAGGAACTCCAACTTGGGATCCAGGATCCGCAAGTGAGCCTCTTCACCTGGCTGGTTTAGGGTTTAGGGTTTAGGGTTTAGGGTTTAGGGTTTAGGGTTTAGGGTTTATGCTCAAAAAGTGCCAGTTCAGGGCTCAGGGTTTAGGGTTCATAATTTCTGAGACTACGTCTTCGGGGATGTTGTGCTGATATATATATATATATATAATGAGGAGCCCGGCGGAACGGTATTGATAACCATTCAACCGAAGCTTAAGAAATTAAGGGTCTTCGGGGTTTGGGCCTTCGGGGTTTGGGCTTGAAGCATTCGGGATGGGGGGTGAACCTCATTACATACGCTTGGTGATATAGATCCTGCAGTACTCATACTGAGGAATATACCATAATTCCCATAGTTTAGGATCCTTTAAGGTAATGCAGGCTTTTTTCATCGACAGTATCCCTTAACCCCTAAACACCTACACCCCCTAACCCCTAAACCCTAAACTCTTAAACCCTAAACCCCTAAACCCCTAAGCCCTAAACCCCGAAACCCTAAAACCATCAACAGTAGGTCTACCTGGGCTTCTTCGGGGCTTATGGGATTATATGGGGTTTGTTGGGTGCTCATGGTTTAGGCTTCCACGGGGTTCGGGGTTTAGGGGTGTAGGGGTTTAGGGGTTTAGGGGTTTAGGGGCTTTGGGTTTAGGGGTTCAGGGCTTGAGGGGTTTAGGCGTTTAGGTTTAGGGGTTTAGGGGTTGAGGGGTTTAGGGTGAATCTCTTCCAATGGACATTTAAGGCTTCAAGGTTTCAGGCTTTAAGGTTTTGGGGTTTGCAACGAGCCTCTTCAGAGCTTAGGGTGGGTGAGGGTTTTGGGGTATGTGGCCTTCGGCTTGAGAAGTTGAGGCTCTCGGTGTAGGGGTTTAGGGTTTAGGGTTTAGGGTTTAGGGTTTAGGGTTTAGGGTGTAGGGTGAGCGTCTTCACCTAGGCTTTTTAAGGCTTAAAGAATTAGGCTTTGAGAGTGTAGAAGTCCGGGGTTCGGGGTGGAAAAGGCTCTGGACACCCTACAATGGCCCTAGAACCTAAACCGATTCAGGGGTGCCTTACCGCAACAGGATTCGAAAGGGTGTTCTAACTTTGAAAGTTGAAAACCCTCAAATCAACGCCATTGACGGGTTCAATCAAGTCTAGAATTAGAGGTCCTTCTTACCAGAGTGATGTACTCCTTTAGGTGAAGAGTCAGATTCACCTTGGTGCTATTTTGCGGTGCTTCAGACCGCCTTTAGGAGTGCAGGCACTTCACCCCAACATTCTCAACACTGCTGACCCAAGTTGAACCTTACTTGGTCCCATCCGCATTCAAGGTGCCGGCAGCTACCGGCTCCGCAGACCCTTGATCTTGTCGCGGCCCGGGAGGCATCTGAAACTCCTTTCAGCTAAGAATCTAAGTGAACCCCAAAGCTCGAATCAACGCAAACAACCGGGGGCGACGACGAAGGTTGCCGCAACTGGTTGAACCGCTTCGTTTTCAACTCCCCTGCTCTAGTCATTATCGTCGCAGGAATGTAAATCGTCCAGGTAATCACCCTAAACCCGATAAACCTGAACCCCCTAAACCCTAAACCCGATAAACCCTTTCGAGGGTCGGCAATAAGGGTTTCACATGGTCTTTACGGTTTAGTTTGGTATTCATAAGTTTCGCATGAAGGTTTGATTGGGCGTCGCACGAGCGTTGAAGCCGTCAACCAAGGTCCAATGATGTTACAGGGTTCTTGAATGTATGGGCCTTATGAAGTTTAACGGATTTGTATCGGTATTGCAAGGGGGGCGGAGGATGCGTTATATTATGGGGCTCCGGTTGTTGTTTCTGGGATCGTAGTTCTGCCAGACCATACGCTGGTTGTTTATTTGTGCTCGTCTTGTTGTGTAACATATTCCAGGACCTAAATGGACACCACAAATGGAGCCTATGAGTGACTGATAAGAGATTGCAGGTGTCAGGAGTGTAAAGTCCCTTACTTTCCCAATAAGTCGGGGAAATAACAGGCTAAACTTTCAAACTACTAAATGATAGGAACCCCAAAGTTTAAAGGTTGGGTATTGGAGAACTAAGGTCCTCGGTGGTGGGCAGCGGCGCGCTGTCCATGGGCTCGTCCTCTCGGAAGATGTGGACCTCATCACAGCCTCCGGTCAACTCAGCAAAGTGTCGCGCCAGCCACACGGTGTGGTATTCCGGCCATACCTGTCGGCTCTCATGTAAAAAGCGCAGTTTTGAGTTCAGGATGTAGAGCTTGCAATTTCAACCTTCTCTGCAAAAAAGAACGAAAAAGGCACACTTCGATGCCCTGCTATAGGCCACGGTACAGAGTTCGGGTGGTACTGCATTGCCACACTGCAGCCACAACGGCCGCAGAAGAAACGGTCAGCACCGTTCTCGCTGATGCGGAACGAACGGAGAGGGCTGTTCACCGTGAGGAGAGTCCGAGACAAGGGGTACGCAGCCCAGATCGCGTAGGAGTGGCCCGTCGCAGCATGGCAGGCGTCGCAGTGACAGTTTGTAATCTGCATCGGCCCGCCGTAGGTCATTACCTTCACACCCGAGCAGGCGCACGCAGCCTGGTAGGCCACCAGAGAGCCCTGTTTTCGGCTCAGCCCTGCCATTGCCCTGGCTAATCTTTCATAGCTCACCCTGAAGCCAACAGATGCTCCAAAGGGGCGGGGGTTCACAGCTTCGGCGGTTTCAAGGACACAGGATACCCTCAACCATCACTCCAAGTTCGGGGAATTCCAGACATGTCGTCTCCCCAAAACCCTACTTGAAGGTTCGTGGGTAGTTATAAGTAGGGCTATATGCCCCTTAATATGGGTTATAACTATATAGTTATCCTCCTTATAACCCCACTTATAACTACCCATGAACCTCCAAGTACAGCCCCTAAGCCCTAAATCCTAAACCTACACCCTAGACCCTAGACCCTAGACCCTAAACCCTAAACCCTAAACCCTAAGCCTCATAGCATACTATCCTAAACCCACCCATGAACCTCCAAGTAAACCCTAAGCTTCGGATTCTGAGGTGCTGAGGCATCCCAGCCCTGCTGGGGGCTTGCCGGGCCCACTTGGCATTCTGTGGGCGGGATGTGGGTTGCGGGGTTCCCTTAATGGGTACTATAACCTTCCATAATGGGGTTCCTTTAGGGGTATAGGGATTCGGGTCTGAAGCCCGGACCGCAATGTGCTGAAAGAAGCGCTCTAATCACGAAAGTTGACGGACAGATGGCTTCAGGGGCCAGAAGTGCTATAGAATCAGGACCTTGCTCAACAGGTTTCGGGCTAGCGGTTTAGGGAAATTGAAATCATGGGTTAAGATTTAGACCACATCGTAGCAGTCCACTCAAGCGCTAGATGTATAAAGAATGAAGGAGATTAGCTAGCCCTTAGTCATTTGGGTCTTCAGAGTCATCTTAGCAGAGCTTGAGCCCAGAGCCCAAAACCCGGAAACCTGAAGTTCCAACCCAATCCTAGACTCGTCCTAGACATACCTATTATACAGGGGCTTGGCCAGGGATGTTTGTAGGGCCTTTAACGGGCTTAGTAGACGGCCCTCGATGATTGGACCAGGGATTTGGGGCCAATTTTCGGGTACATTTCCAGTATATTTAAATGGGCCAGATATTGCTACTAAGTTTTCAAACGACATGTTCGGGTTGAGAATCAAGGGAGCTGTCATCCGCTGTCACTGGGCCGCCCCAACTAGACTCCAAGCTCGATCCAGGAGTTAGTGCCCTACCCTACACCCTAAACCCTTAACCCTAAACTTTAAACAACCCTTTAGGTTTTAGGGTTCCAGGGTGATTCGGTGAAGTCCAGGATCTGGGGCCCCGGTTTTCGGATTAACTTAACCTGGAGCTTTGACGACGCAGAAACCCTAAACCCTGAACCCTATAAACCCTATAGGCCCCATAAACCCTATAAGCCCTAGAAGCCCTATAAACCCTATATACCCTATAAGCCGTATAAACCGTATAAACCCTATAAACCATAAACCTCATAAACCCTGTAAGCCCTAAGCCCAAAAACCTAAACCCTAAACCCTAAACCCTATAAACCCTAAGCCGAACCCCACCTCACACCAGCCGAGGCCTAAAAAATGCTCCTCGAAACAACATCATGGGAATCTGACAAACACTGCAGCCTGCTGTAGGGGCCTAAATTACAGGATTTAGGCTTTAGGGTTTAGGGTTTAATATGAGGGCCGAAATAATTATCAATACTATTTTCGGTGGTTCCTCATTATGATTATAGTATGGGCCCCAAAACCCTATTCTAATTATTACAGCCCCTATATTGTCAAAATCTATGTGAGGTTCTATGCTTGTTTCAACCAGGGTGCATCACGTCCCAAACTGACATTGCCCCTATAACCCCTATAACCCCTATAAGCTCTATAAGCCCTATAAGCCCTATAA